TCCAAGATCATTGTAGTTTATATCACAATCCTAGTGTTCTCAATTAGCTGGTAGTTTGTTGAAAATTTCTTATTGCAAAGACTAATACTTGTTAATTTGTTTGGATGCTTGCACTTGTTTGTCTTTATAAGTCAAATTGCAGCTTAATAGTAATTTGTTTTAATTGTTTTATACAAGAATGGTGAGTGATTCATTTTCTTCCAAACGAGGCACAGAAGTCAAGGATCCTTACTATCGTTTCGGCTCAGTGTGGAAGGAGTATAAATGCAAATATGTACAACATAAATACCTATAAAATAATACAAAATATAAGGCTTTGTACTCTATATATTTGCATTTGTATTCCTTCCAAACTGAGCCTTAGGTTTTGGACTTTCTCTTCTACAGGAGAAAAGAAAAGTCATGGATTTGCTCCTGATCTTGGAACTGTTACCAAGGCCAAATTTGTTTGCAGAGCAATTTATTTTCCCTGGTGCAAAAGTGTGGGAGTAAATGATTCTAGTGCAAATTTCGATATGTTCTTATTTCAACTTTTACCTTATTTTGTTTGGCATCTTGGGCGAAGAAATGAAAGCCGGAGCAAGATAAAGTAAGAACAAAGCAAAGGTGGGTCAAATTTTGCATTTTTTTTATTTGCTCCCTCATACATTTGTACTCGTGTAAATGAAGTTCCACCGCAAACAGAGTTAAGGATGTTTTTTTTTTTTTCACAAATAGATCAGTACCAGATAACATAGTGGGTGTTTAGTACAATGGTGTTGGATTGCCATTGTGTTTTGAGTTGATCAATATTAATTTGTGAGAGATTTTAATTTTCTACCTGAAATGTTTTAAAAATCTTTTGAGTTGATAACTACAAATATGATTAGGGTATCATGAAATGATAAATGAAATTTAGAAATTGGAAAAAAGGAATTGTTTAAGATAATATTCTAACTCATGAATCAAATATCTTCCCTTGATTAATCTGGAACTGGAAAGATCCCTTTTTGCAAGGTTAGTTGTGTTTATGTATAGTCATATTTTGGAACATTGGTGAAGGTGTACACATATTTTTGAGAGAATGCCCAAAATGATATGAACTGAGAGAGATCTAGGATATGTTTGGCATCGATGCTGCAGATTCAGCATGTGTGGGTTGGAAGTACCGTTTTATAAGAAAACGATCTCTTTTTTTTGTTTGGAAACATTGCTGCCAGGTAGGACGTTTTCTGGAGCAACAATAATACTTTATGTTTGGTACCGGTGCTGCATGTTTGTTTTCAACATTGGTACCCATTATAGGAAGTCCACGTTACTGTCACATCACGTCCTTATTGGCAACAATGAGTTGTAATATGCTAAAATGTCAAAATTAGCGTTACTCTAAACCATGCCTTTTCGATTTCTAAGGCATGGCTTGGAGCACAATTTTTTATGGAAAAACGGTTCCAAACAAATAGGTATTTCCTAGAGCACCATTTTTTTTGCATGGCGCTAATGTGTCATCGTTTTCTTGAACAATGTCATCGATGCCAAACAGACGCCTAGTTTATGTTTGGCATTGATGATGCATATACAACACCATATTCTGAGAAAATGGTATCTATTTTTTTGTTTGGAAATGTTGCTATCAGGTAGGACATTTCCTGGAAAAATAACAACACCTTCTGTTTGGTATCCAATGCTCCGTATCAGTCTGGATTTCCTACTAACTTCTCTTTACTCTCCTCTCTACTAACCCAACAAAATGATTCCAGTTGTTTTTAACATGGTTTTCAAATCCGGACTGGACCGGACGGTCAGACTGAAAAAACCAGGAACCGGTCAGGTGACCGGTTTTGATTTTCCCCAAAACTAGAAATTTTCCCAAAATTGTTGATTTTGTTTAGCAAACCGCTGACCCAGGCATTTAACCGTTTGAACCGTTCAAACGGTTTTGACCATTTTTTAATTTTTTTATTAGAATGGGTCGATCGTTCAGTTCGAACAATCAGACCGTTCAACCCAATAACCGGACCCCTGACCGCTTCGGTCTCCGAGTCATTTTTAAAACCATGATTTTTAATCATGTTAGAGTCCAACTTTAGTGTAACAACTAACCAATAGCTTAACCCCTCCATTAAATACTCTTTAAAATATTTCGATTCTTCAAATATTAGTTAAACCTTTTTTAAAAAATAGATATTTTCATTTAATCCCAAATTCTTCTTCCCCATTCTCTTTCCTCTTCATCTCTTCTCAAAAATCTTTTGTTTTGTGCTTGATCATTAATATACAAAAATTCAAGGCCTGATGTCCGAACCGATTATCTCAGATTCAAATGATGTATTTATGTAATTGGATCGAATTCGGATGTTACAATCTACATTCGATTAATAATCGGATTAGATTCGAATTTGACCACACCCGATCTGATTAAAATATGAAACCAATTATTATAATATTTATTAATTTTAATATATAAATTTTATATAATTGTATTTAAAATTATAAAAATATATTCTATATATTATATTTATATGAATTTATATATAATAATTTAGTATGTTATATTTACATTAATTTATTATTTATAAAAGTTGAAAAATAAATAAATTTTATTTTTCTAGTATTTTAGAAAATTTATAGTAGAGTCGAATTAAATTTGGATCTGATCCGAGTCCGTTAGGATTTGAATTTGAATCCAAGCCAATTGGATTCAGATGTGGGTTATCAATAATCGGATTAAATGTGGGTTTTGCTGCATCCGATCCAATTACAGCCATAGTTCAAATAAAGAATAATAGCAATGACGAGTAGAGAAGAATAGGGGTGCTCGGGCTTTTTCTTGGACTAAACTGGTACTATCGATTTTTTGAAAACTGGTAACCGAAACCAATTGGTTAACTAGTTGGCTAGTTCGGTTAACTGTCGGTTTGATTCGTCGATTTTTTGGTTTTTTAATTTTTATAATATATATTATAAAAATATATATAATATTATATTTTAATTAATAAATAATATATCATATTTTATATAAAATGCATATTTATTAATTTATAATATATAAAATATATAGAAATATATGTATACCGGTCGGTTCAGTTAACTGATTTTTCGGTTTGGTTTCGATCGCTTCAATTTTTCCATTTTTTTTGCTCATCCCTAGAGAAGAATAACAACGGCGAATTCACAAAAAAGTGTTTCAACAGTAAAAAGAAAAGAGGTCTTATACTAGGGTTAAACATCCATGCGAAGTATGAGATCGTTATTCCATATGCAAAATGGTATAGTGTAGATGCTTCCACGAGATAAACCCGTGGATGAGAAAATGAACTATGGTGTGGACTAATCCATGAGATAGTATGGATCAATTCTCACTACAGCCAATCGAATTCATGGCATAGGGGTGGGGTGGATTGAAACTGAATATATCGTGACCAATACACACCACCGAACACCTCCTAAACAATCAAAAGATAAAGTCATAAGATACTTAAGCTTGACCTTATATTCTCATCTTATGGTCAATTTGAAACACCACTTGTACCATGATGGTAAATGACATTCTTACAGTTGTACCCCGTGTTTTTTTTTTCTTTTTGCATATTGGACCTTATCAGAATTTTTTTTTTTTTTTTTTGGTATTAATCACACGCCTTGTGCCTTCATAGTGACAGTAATTCATTTTTTTTTTGGCATATTACAACACTTTTCTTTTCACAACAATTTAAATAATATTTTCCAAAAGGGAAATTGTCTAAAACTCACTGAGTTTTCAACCTTTCCCTTGAACTCACCACAACTTTTCAAAGTGTCCAACACTCACCATGTTAGTAAGTTTTTATTTTCCAAAACTCACCTTCAGTTAGTGCATCATTAATGCTTCTTAACAGAGGTGTCCATATCAACATAAATAACAATTTTCATGACCAAATTACCCTTGAATGGCGAGTTAAGAGGAAAAATGGTCTTTTTAGTTTTCAATTTTCTTTTTTTTTTGCATTTTTAGTGTTTTGCTATAATTTCCAATGTTTTTTATAATTTCTGTTTTTTTACATTTTCTATTTTCTACAATCTATAAATTTTCTTGTATTTTTTGTTATTTATTTGTAATTTCTGTGTTTTTCTATAATTTTTGGTGTTTTTTCTACAATTTTTATTTTTTGATTTTGTTTTTCAATTTATATAGTTTCTATAGTTTGAAAATAATTTTTTATTTTGTTTGCAATTTCTATAATTTTTTATATTTTTTGTTTCTATGTTTTTATGTATTTTATATTTGAAAATATTTTTTAAACTTTTTCCTTTTTTTCATGTCTAAATATTAAAATGGTAATATATTAACACCTGTTAATTTATTTGTATATATTTTATATTTTTCTATGAAAGTTACACTACAAGAAAATGACTTTTACTGCCGCTAAAAGTCTTAAAAACTGCCGCTAGTTATAGTTTTAGCAGCAGTCGTGACTGCCGCTATAGAGATGCACCGACTGCCGCTAAATCTATTATATATTTTTTTTTCGCACCTACCCAAATAACCTGAAATCCGTTCAAAATAACCTGTAATTATTTTTAATTACTAAACAAGATTTTAATTTGCTTCAAATAACCCATTTTATATTCAATCATCCAAATTGAAATGAAATACAAAAAAACAAAAATACAAATTCTATTAATTCATTCATTCATTCTCACAAATACAAATTTCGTCCATTTATTCTTAAAAATGGACCCTCTGAAGCTAATTGTTCTCAGTCTCAATGTTTCTATCTTTGTACAAATACAATGTTTTAGATCACAATACAAATTTCGCTCATTCAAAAGACTTTAACTACAAGTAGGATTTCAGATCATCCTCAGTTTCAATGTTTCAATCTTTGTACTCTTGCAGCTTGGAGAACCTCCAGTAGTTTGACATCATAAGCAATCAATAGCCTGCAATCAATAGCCAGACCAAATTACTTAGACTGGTGCCTCCTGAGCTTCCTCCTCTTCCACTGCTTGGGGCTTGATCATGCAAATCTGGGCCTCCTTACTTTTGCCCCACAAGAGAATAGAGACCAATAATCACAAGAACAGATCCCAATACGCTGTCCATTGCAGTTGCAAAAAAACAAGATTAGACTGTGCAATAAAGATAAATATGGAATCAGTAATTTCACTGGAATTGTGGATCCAGGACTAACCTTCCGAGGTTTAGTTTCTCATGTAGAATAAAGAAATCAATTATGGCTACAATTATCTGAATGAGTGGGCTGAATGCTGAAGTAAAGAGGGGGTCCCTTTTCTTTACACACCATGACATCCCCACAAAGCTTAATCCTGATCCCATTATTCCCTGAGAAAACCAAGGCTTTCCATTCAGATTCATATTCCAATTCAAGTTAGTGATCAGGAGAAAGTAACAGTGCATGAATAGTTAGTCTATAATTTGATGCACTCAGGTTGGGCTCGGGCCCGGGCCAGGCTCAGGTTGGTCAATAAACCGCTGCAGCCTGCAAGGTGGTTAAATGCTTGAGTTGTGCCTCGTTTAAAAAGGGTCCCTGTTATCACTAGGCTGATTCAGAAAAAACAGAAATCTGATGATAGACACTACCAGACAGGGGAAGGGTATATATAGCTAGCCCTAGGTTGGTCACTTATTTAGGGCCCCATTGGGAGGGCTAAAGCCTGAAGCCTTTGATAGAACGGCTTTGGACTTTAGAGAAGCCACTCAAAGAAGCTTAAATGCAAAGCCGTTTTCTCAGCTGTAGGACAGCAAAATTGGGTTTCCCGGAATTTTCACCAAACACTGTTTATACTTTATAGGCTGTCCTGGTGGGGCCCTCGCCCTACCTTGTGAAGCCAAAAGCCTCCCTATGATTTCCTAAAAATCTGCAGTTACCTCCTTTCCATCTTTGTTCAAGTAAATCAGACTTCAAAGTTAGGAAATTACACTTACGAACTTATTAGGATACCTCTCAATATAATTCAAAATATCAGATTTATCCTTTTAAACTTCACCAGACCTAACATTTTTTTAGAGTAAAATCACTTTATTCTTTGGGAGTTTTGGACTGCCATCTAACTTAGAGATTTTTTTAAATATCTATCACACTCAAGATTCTTTTTAATCCATCCATGACAATAAAAAAAAGGGAAATAACTGTAGGTTTTTTTCAATACTACAGAGGAGGTTTTTATGATTGTTAGAAACCTCAAGGGAGGTTTTTACCCATATGGGCCCCTGAACTAGCACAGCCCAGCCAAAGTCTGCCCTCAACTGACAAACCAATACCCGACTAGAGCCCACTTCATGTGGTTTGTCATCTATTGTATTGTTCTATATATGTTCATTTCTTCAAAAAGAGCCTTAAACTGAACTGCATTATTCAGATACTGTAGATGGGGATAGAGGGTACTTACAGCATACAAGACAGTTAAGATCGCAGCTTTCCCTCTCAGAACCCACAAGGAAATGTCTCTTTCAATGACCAAGCTCAGTACAGCCGATTGAATTGCTCTGAAGAATGACATAATTGTGGTGCTAGAGTACTGACAAGGGTATTGCTTGCTAATCCGTGCTTGAATGAGGAACCATGAAGACCAGAAGCATCTCCTTAGTCAAACATTTCCATGAAGACCAGAGTACTGACATAATTGTCTTGGATGGGATGCCCCTTCCTCAAAAGCATCTCCTTAGTCAAACATTTTTCTAGTGCAACCACCCATGTGAAAGAATTTCACCTTGGGGGCAGATTAACCCCATGATTAAATTACTTGACAACAATAATATCCCAGCCCACCTCAAGTGCCATGATTAAATTACTTGACAACAAGGGGTAAACAGGATCCTCCTTCCTAGGTACATCTCTGTTGTCCCATAGGCCAATTTGGCAAGCTGTGGTTATATCAAGGCTTCCATGTCAAGCCATATGAGCTCTTACAGCTTCCTGCATGGGATGACAGACTGCATCTCAGGCTGGGCAGACCCCAGATCTGATTTAACAAGGGTGTAATAACACTAGTCCTTTAGTTCCATACTACTACAATAGCTGACCTACATTATTGTGTCTGAATTTTTCTATTTCTGCATGTATCTTTCCATCCAATAGCTGACCTACAGTGCTTGTATGTGACCAAACTATAAGAAGGACCAATGCACATAGACATTCACAGGAAAACAAACAAGGACCCCCAAGTCCCAAAATTTATTATCAATTCATTGATGCTGAACCCAACCCCCAATAAAGAAACATAACAAACGCGAACCAGAGGTCCATTCCTATTGTTAATGTTAATGTAAATGGACATAGAGCTGCAAACTGTAGCTGTTTGTTCAGGTTTTAAGTGGAATCTGATTAAGGCAATCTGAATTTGATCCCAAAATGGATCCACTCCAATATTGAAATACGTGTTTATATTAATATATACACATAAGGAAAATATATGTCCTACAGAAATATGTATGTAAGACAAAGAAGAGAGCTCACGGGACAGTAGTAGAAGTAAGGGTAGCTGTGACAGGGGTATGTGCAGATAAAGGAACTGATGGTGACCTGCCAAATGAAGAAAGTTAACCAACAACATATAAAGTACAATGGTCAAAAGGCCACTCAAATGCAATAGAAAGTAAATGAAAAACTCACGAAGCTGATGTTGCTGGCGTAACTTGGGGAGTTGCTGTAGGAGGGGAAGAACTTGTTTGTGGAGCCTGCATATGGAAGGCATTATATTAAACCAGTTTAGAAAATGACTAACTTTAAACAAGATAATTCCCAACTTTTTTCCTTCCTTTTACCAAATCTAACGGCTTTCTTTTTGTGTTGTTTCTTAAAAGCTAATCCTCTTTCCTTTATCATGACCTCCAAAAGAGGCCAACCCATTGACTTTCCTATATTTTTTTTCACCAAGTTATTCTGAACTTCAAGATGTCCAAGCTTTTAAATACTGTTTCTATTGGTCATAAATCTTGTTTCTAGATTTTTTTACCCAGCTATTCTGAACTTCAAGATGTCCAAGCTTTAAAAGCTAACCTCTTTCCTAGATTTTTTTACCCAGCCATTGGTCGAAAATACTGTTTCTATTGCTATTTTCTTTCCTTAAGCGAGTATATTATTTCTATTCTTGTAGCTACTGAACAATCTAACAATCAGCTTCTTAAAACCAAAAGAAATGTTTAATTATGTCCTTATGACATGACTGTAGGGTGAACCAAGCTTCCACCTATTTAAACTTTGTTGTATGATGTCCACTGGTTCAGGCACTGATGCATTTGGTTCATTAAAGCTTTTGCATTTGTTGGTTGTAGGTTGCTACTCTTGAATTGGCTGGAGAAAGCTGGTGAATGGTGAATGCCAGTTATGGGCCAGAGTGGACCCATTTGAAATATAATACTAAATCAAGCAAACCCAGAACAGGCGGGGAGCTTTGAATAATTCACAATCCACCATTACCCATCAAGGACTATTCTAGTAAAGCTACAGACTATGACATGAAAATCCCTCTCTATATATGCTCTTAACTTAAGTCTTAACAAGTGTTTTGGTTGATCCCTCACCCTCATAAGCATCAAAACCTGGGGCCCTGGCAAACTGCCTCTGCTTGGGTCACTATCAACAGTGGTTTGAAAACACTGCTCTTCTCTAAGTATGTAATTATCTTGAAAAAAACAAAAAGGCACTTAACATTGGGCGATAAAGGCCTGTTTGGGAGTTCTTCAACATTGATTGAGCTGCATTGACTGAAGGTCCCRGAAGCTACAGAAAATAGTTTTTCTAGCTCATGTAAATCTATTTTTGATTTTCTGTGTGAGGCCTACTTTATAATGCTAAAAGCCACTGCATGAAAGCCCTCCTAAACGGGCATTCCAAATGTGATGCAGCGACAGTAATTAGATGTTAATTAGCATTCCATGACCAAGATCAAAGTCATCAGACAATAATGCGCTGTTGTTATTAGTAGGAGTGGAACCCAATTTCTAATTCCCAATTGATTCAACTTTTGTGATTCACCAATATCAATTAGCATTCCAAACCTGTATAGGCATAAATATTTTTCTAGTATTTTTTATGATCACCATGAGACAATAACATGTTTTTTTTATAGATTCATGAGACAATAACATCCAGCTGCACACTGAAACAGTGAAATTCAGAGATTTCTGCTTGGTAAATAGTTTATCCCAACCTTTCCACGTGGTATACTAACATAATCATTTAAAAGAGTCAAGATCTATAAAGTACATCAAACTATAAGAGTAGTTAATCACGTCAAATGGCTTAGAAAAATAAACAAAGAAAACGTAGAGGCTATAACAGACATCTCAAGTTATTTCAACTAAAAAATCAGCAGATCTACATCAAAAGGTTTAGAGTCGAATAGAGTCTAAGCAAGAACCAAAATATTCATATGTACGCTGCTTAAATATCAGAACTAGAACAAATATTCTTAACTTCCTATAAGTGAAAGTATCGAATGAACGACACAAACCCTAAATCTATATGTTAAGGAAATGAGCTCGATTCTATCATGCTAAGAAAACAAACAGTAAATTGGAAAAAAAAAATCAAAATATTGATAAAGGTTGGAAAAGGCAAATGACCGGCGTTCAGGGCCAAACCAGAGGTAAAAACAAAAAAACAAAACAATAGAAATAAAACCTAGAATGCATATATTTTTCGAAGAACCGACCTTACCTCAAGTTAGGCTTTACCTAGAATTCCAATCCGAGAAAAAGGCCTGAAGAAGCATCGACTTTACCTCAGAACACTATTTTGACAGAGACATCACTCCCTTGACAGAGCAAGAGAGAGAGCGAAAGAGGGACAACTGAGAGAGAAAGAGCGCGAGAGAGGGGCGACTGTGAGAGAAAGGGGGAGAGAGAGAGAGAGCGCGAGAGAGAAAGCGATAGACGACTGAGCAAGAGTGGAGAGAGACGGCGGGAAGAGGCGTGAGGAAGGGAAAAATGAAACTTACGCCTTTTCATGTAGCGGCAGCCATTTGTTGTGTAGGGGCAGTTTTAATCGACTGTCGCTACATATTAATATTTCTAGCGGCAGTCGTTAAACAGTCAAGTTTAAAACTGCCGCTAGAAATATATTTTCTTGCAGTGTTAAAATGGTTATATATTAATAACCGTCGGTTTATTCAACGTCAAATTAGTGATAATGATGAGTTTTAGACATTTTAAAAAGTGTAATGAACATAACATAAATATTGAAAATTCATGGTGAATTTTAAACGATTTTTTAAAATCCATTTATATACCACTAAGAAAAAAATACAATTGGAAATAAAATTTTAGCCCCACATCATTGTTTGAAAGAAAAATAAAACATTATATCAACTGGTTTTTGTTGATAATATAAAGGTGTGGCTTGTGAGCCCTACTTGGTTGAACCACGAGAAAAAATGCAATTGGAAAATGGGGTCTATAATTGGCCTCACTTGAAGGTTTCACCTGTTGGTTTCGCACATATAAGCCTCACATGTCAACCAGACTGCATTATCCCATGTGTGAGCCCTACTTGTTAGTCTACATGTGGGTCCCGCCTCTTGAACCATGTGTTGGCTTCGTGGATGGACCCAACTTATTCTAAAGTGAGAAAGTTTTTCTGATTGAATCATGGGGAGTTGGGGACTTTTCCGTTTACCATGGGGGTCCAACCCAGGTGACTGAGAATTTATCAAATGGCTTACAGATCATTGGTATATTTTTTACTTTTTAGAGTGAAAATCGAGTCATTTGGAGAGAGAAGGTTGGAAGAATCAATGGAGCTTTTCATTCTCCAATATATTCTTTCGAGATGTGTTTATTTGAAAGTTTTTTTTAAGTGGTCTTGATTTTAGGAGGTGTTATATATAAAGTGGTGATGGTGGGAGTGGTGGTGAAATAGGAGGGGAGGTGGAGGAATTGGACCTCCACCATTGCTCCACTTTTTCAGATTGGTTAATTGATCTTGAGGCATAAAGTTCAATGTCCTATATCTTTGGTTGGAAAATAATGACTAGAAATATAAATGTGTAAGAGCAAAATTGGCCAATAAAACAAGACATTAGCACTTTAAGATTCAAAAAATGGCCAATAAGCATAAAGCAATAAAGCTAAGAAAACATTACTACAACTCTGATTGTAGTTGATTTTTATTTGTTGTTTTAGTCAAGTGAAAACGAAAATGTTTCACAATTATCATATGATTTATGACATTAAATAAGTAATAATAAAACATAAATCAAAATTATAGAATCAAAGTCACTAATAACAATTTGTCATTTGGATTAGGGCTTAAGAGTTGAGACAAATGAACATGATAGTATGTAGGAAGGCTATAATACTTATGTACAATAACAGTAGTAGAGTTAGTTAACTTCGGGTAGGGCCGGGTTAGCAAAAATCAATCCTAACCTAACTTAACCATCAATCCAACCTGACTTTCTTTTCGGTTGAGTTTGGCTAACTTGGCCCAACTTCGGCTCTATTTAAGGTATGTCGGAAGTGATGCAAATTTTGCATTAGTTTTTTAGGCTCAGTTTGGAAGGAAAACAAATATAAATATATAGAGTTTAAAACCTTATATTTTGTATGTATTTGTACCATACATATTTGTATTTTTACTCTTTACAAACTGAGACTTGGGCTGTGTTTTGGTTGCAGTGCAAATTTATATGCACTAGCACAAATGTATGGGAGTGCAAATGTAAAAAATGCAAATTCTTGTTTAATTTTGTTTTGGATTCTATTTTATCCTACTTCATGTCTTAATTTACTTCATTTGTACTGTAATCAAACAAAATAAGCTAAAATCTGAAATAAAAATAGGTCAGAACTTACACTCAAATCATTTGCACTGCTATGATTTTGCATCAGTGCAAAATTATTTGCATTGCAACCAAACACAGCCTTAGGCTCAGTTTGGAAGGAGTACACATGCAAATATGTGCAGTGTAAATATATATAAAATAGTACAAAATATAAGGTTTTGCACTCTACATATTTGCATTTGCACTCCTTCCAAACTGAGCATTTGATGCAAAATTTACACTACAAATGAGAACAAGTGAAAAAAAGAGTACAAGTGACAAAGGATGCAAATTTTGCAACTTGATGCAAAATTAATTTCTATCCAGTTCAGATTTGCATGACAAACAAACGAGTCTTAATTATATATATATATATATATATATATATATATATATATATATATATATATGTGTGTGTGTGTGTGTGTGTTGGGAAAATCTATGATATGAAAAAGATATGGTATGAAAAGAGTTTTGACCAATCAAAATCCATCCATGATTTTTTATAAATAGCATCTTATTTGTTTTTCAGATATAATTATCTTTTCCATATTATAGTCGAACCTAAATTATAATAGATTAAAGGTTTGGTTATCCGTTAAAATTTGAAAGTGTCCTTGCCTCTCTTCTTTATTTTTTTTTTGTTTTTTATATTTCATTTTAATTTGATTAATATCATTTATATTTTTTCTTGCTCTTATTTGCCTTTCTTCATGCCCGAAAGTCACCCTGCTCTACTCTACTCATAAGATGGGCTGGGCAAGTTGAAGGATGGTCTGGTTGGATGCAGGTTAGCCCAACCCAAACCGAACACTTCTCGTTGCCGTCCCTAGGGTTGGGCTAACCTGAACCCAAATACCTTAACAATTAACACTGTTAACATTAAGCACATATGAGGCATTAATTAAGGCCTAGGCCCAGCCCGGCTCTAGATCCAACCCAAGGACATCCGAGGGTTGGGCCTACCCAAACCGAATACTTCCGCTTGCCAATTGCCATCCCTAGGGTTGGGCCTAGAACCAACCCGATCTGGTCAGTATCTGGTCAGGTCAGTTCTCGCAGACCAATCTGCCGGTTTGCCACCCATATTTTCGTGTTTCGTCAATCAGGAGAATAAAGGCACAGCGAAAGGCGTGAGTCATTCACGTAGAGACGTGGCCAAGAACTCAAGAAAATGGTGGCATTTGTGGGTCCACAGACTATAAAAGTATGGCCACAAGGCCCACAACTCAACTCAGGCTCCAATCAACGTTTCTCAAGCTAATTACTCACAGATGAAGGTGGGGCCGTAGAAGTGGTGCTCCTGCAGTCCTTCTCCAGACTCCGAATCTCCCTCTCTCTCTGTGATTCGTCTTCTTCGACCAACTAAACCCTAATCCTCTGCAACTTCCTGTCTGAACTAGGCAAACTCAATATTACGAACTTGAATTTGAATTCGTAACTGAAAACTGGCTACGATGAATAGAGCCACGAGCAATGTTCTCCAACGGAGCAATTCAAGAAGGAAGCGGAAGATTCAACCAGCTTCACACTTCAAGAAGCTCCGATCGAAGATTAATCGGAGGAAGCGCTCCCAGATATCTCCAATTCTCCGTAGATCATCGAATTCGATGTTTGTTGGTAAGAAAACAGAGTTCTCTGCTTTTCCGGCAGCTTCGAGCTCTGCTTCATGTTTCTCCGACGAAATTTCGTGCAATTCGAACTGGATTTCTGAAGCATCTCAGAATCTGAAGAAGAAACCAAGATCGATCAGGCGGAAGAGAGGAGCTGAGGAGATCAGAGGTCCTGAAGTTGAAATTCGAGAAGGTGAGCGAAGTTTCTGTCAACCGAAGAAGACTGATGGAGAACAATTTCGTAGGATAACAAGATCGTTTTACAGACTGGAAGAAAATAAAGTGACCATGGAGAAGAAAGGAAGTCGAGATCGCGGCATGGAGTTATCAGAACTATCGTGCGTAGATTCGTTTTCTGGAGCAGATGTTCTTGATGACGGTAAATCACACGATAAAACACACGAGGTTCGAGAGAGAAATTTAACGCGGAAAAGGAGAGCTCGTAAAGGTGCCGAAAAGGCAGATGAGAATGAAGAAAATACAGTTTCAGAAGTAATCGCGCTTTCGGAAGCTTCTTGCGATAAGCCGCTTCAGCAAGAAAATGTTCCAAGTCTCTCCAAACCCGGCGAATTTTCCGGTGAAGTTTGGAAGCTGGGAGCCAAAATCTACTCTCCTGGAATTCATGGCAATGAAGTTAGTTCAGATATTTCTTGTCTTGAATCAATTACTGAAGCGAAAAATCTGAATCTCTGTCCGTTCGTCGACAGTTTGCCAACGAAAGCAATGAAAGATGAGGAAAACAGAGCACAAGTTATGTATGTAGAATCGAATATCGCCGTGTCCAATTCAGAATCAAACGCAGAGCATAAAGCGAAGTTCTTAAATTTCAATTGTGACCTGACTTGTTCAGAAAAATTCACGTATGAAACCGATTCAAACTACTCAATTAGCCAGGATATGACAATCTCACAACTCGAATCAGAGATCTTCCCAAGAAATTCAGATATAGATTTCTCAGATCTCAGTCCTTTGTTTAGTATCGAATCTTCAAGCGATTTTTCAGAACAATCGAATGAAAATTCGCCTCAGTCTGATTGTTTCTTATTGCTCCTTCAGTTTACACAGCAATTCTCAAAGTTAAGCTTCCATCCGGATGTAAATGAACCATCGCACATTGAAGACGAGTACTTCGATGAATTTACAGTGAGTCCGAAGTCTGTACGTGTAAAACAAGTTCTCTTTCATTGATTTTTTGTTTTAATTATTGTGACTTTCTTTTCATGTGTTTTGGCTCAGTTGATGAGGTTCGAAGACGAAGAGCAAGAAGAAAGTTACAAAATGTTAAGGAGAAGAGAGAGGAAACAAGTTTTTCTGCACGACTACGCCGAGGAGTATTGCTCGACGACGGAATACGGCGAACTCGTCCTCCGGCAACGGTTTCAGATGGTTAACTGGATAATTGAGGTGAGTTGTTTCGGGGCCACGTTACCTACATAATCGCGGTGGTTGTTCACGGCCGATTCCAACAATCTCTTTTTCGCTTCAAACAAACTACAAAGCAACTAAGCAAGTACGTTTCAGACTTTCAGTCCGATTTTCTGTCTCCTCGTATTTCGGAACGGGCTGTTCTCTACTCTAAACCTTATTGGCTAGTTGAATGTGATTACTAGAATACCACTATATTATACGTGAAGACGAGAAGTTAAAACTTGAGGGTACTTTTGCCATCTTTCATTCTTACTGGCGCCCATTTGCAACCTTGTAACCAAGGGATACAGGGTGGCCGGTGCCCAATAGGCCAATAGAATAAGAGTTTAGTTAAATTCGCACAGCAACACCCGAACACCGTACATGCTTTTTCAAACTCATCCATCATCACATCAAGGAAGAATACTGGCATAACTCATAGTACTTTGGAGTAAGGGATTTTCAGTGGGGCGCTTTTCGAACAACAGTTTTAACAGCTTTGTCCCACTTGTTTTTTCTTTGATGGGCACCGGATTTGCTCTAACAGAGTGACAGAGCACGTCTCACACTAACCTCACAACATTTGCAACCTTACATTATTCTTGGAAGATATTTTGAATGCTGAATTCACGACTGCAACATGCTGTTTGGTTAGGGTGAGACGCGCTCGAGGAGCAAATCCGAATTCCATTTTGTTTGGGCACTTTTATTAAGTCGGTATGAGCCACGATCTGCTGACCACTAGACGTTGTGCACAATACACTGCAGCCGGGAACATTTATGTGGCTGCAGTGTGTTGTGCACAGGCTGTGGCCAGCGTTTTGAGGTCAATAGATCAAACCATGGTTTTCAAAACTGGATTCAATTGGATGGTTGGACCAGAAAAATCGGGAACTGGTCATTTGATCGGTTCCATTTTCTCTAAAAACTGAATTTTTCCTGAAAATCGTTCAAAAAAACCGGGAACTGATCATTTGACCGGTTCCATTTTCTCCAAAAACTGGATTTCTCCTCAAAACTGTTGATTTGGTCAATGAACCGCTGAACCGGGTGGTTAATCATTCAAACCGTTTGAACTGCTCGAACCGTTTGAACGATTTTGACCGTTTTTTATTTTTTTGATTTTTTTTTATTTTTCTGTCAGAACGGGCCGAGCATTCGGTTTGAATGATCGGAACTCACACAATATTATGCCTTCACACCGATAAATACCTAAACCTGGAGTCTGGACTTCTATAAAAAATAAGAAGAATTCTCCATGTCTTGAGGTTGAGGTACATGCAATCATGTATCACATGACCATCCATTCAATAGACTCTACGAAAAAGAGATCTTAGATCTACAATTACAATAGTTATCAAAAGCATCAAATGGAACGATTTTTTTGTGATGTTAAGAAGCGGGAAGAGAAAAGAAAGTGAACTTGCAAAATTAAGTATTACAGTTTCATTAGAATAAAAGTGAACATGAATTTAAGACATAAGGTAATGCAGCAGGCTTGACGTGCATGCAACAATGGCGTTTAATTTCTTTTTCTTTTTCTTTCTCTCTTTTTTTTTTTTGGGGGGGGGGGGTGCATCACGCAATGCCTGCGGACAGTAATATATTGTTTGTTGAACACCATTACCATATGATATCATGCTTTTCTAATTCCCATCTCATTGTTATCGATGTGCATAAGCAGCAAGCGAATGCAAAGAATCTTCAGCCCGAGACAATGTTTTTAGGGGTCAGCCTCCTGGACAGATTCCTGAGTCGAGGATTCTTCAATAACACAAGGAACCTTCAACTAGTTGGAATTGCTTGTCTCACGCTGGCCACCAGGATCGAAGAAAACCAGCCATTCAACTGGTAATTAATGTTGTACATTTTTTTAGTATTTATTTCAATTTATTAACATCCTTGACTATTTGAATTATAAGTTATTATGACCTTGAAGGCATCTACAACAGGTTGGTGATACTGTAGTAGAGCTCATCAGCTTAAGCTTTTTAAGTATCTACCAAGTTTCTTACCAAAAAATGGTACTTGCCAAGCTTGAGACCGTCTTTTCTGCTGCAATTCTTTTTAATATTAAAGTTATTCAAGCGTAGTTATAGACACAGAGCCCAATCTAGAGTCCAAGATTAAAAGCTAATAGAAGAGAAGAAATATAGAAATAAGTTATACTATTTATAATTTATAGTTACATAAGCTATACAATATGGTATGTAAATTAGTAGAGCTTAAACTGAATAAAGCCAAGATTGAGTTGTGGATTGGACAAAATTGATGTGACTAAATTTGAGATGATTAACTCCGCTCATTTATTTGGGAGATGGGCTTTAGATGTTGCCTAGTTTGATCATAATAAGCTTCTATATGATATTCACCAGTTGGCTGTCCATTGCCTTCATGCCTGACGATTGGATTATTAATTACCAATCTAATGGTAGTTGTTCGATTTTTGTTGTATTTTGATCGACCAACTAGAGTATAAATGATTTCTGATTCCAACCAATGGGATCTCCAAGAGGATGGAGACGAGTACTAATTCTGATTATTGGGGCTTTTCAGTGTGCGGCAAAGGGTATTCCATATAGGGAGCAATGCTTATACCAGGTGCGAAGTGGTGGCCATGGAATGGCTGGTACAGGAAACCCTCAACTTCCAATGTTTCTTGCCCACCACATACAACTTCTTATGGTATGTCCAGTTTTCAAACAACGCCAATAATTTAGGACGCTTTATTGCGCGTGTCAATGTAGCACATACATAAAAAGCATGAACACCATTTGGTGGGTTCTGTATACCCACAATAGTACTATTTCCCACGAATTGTAGCTAAATCGGTCAAGCTTTTTTCCATTAAAAAAAAAAGATATCTATTAACTGCGACCAATCAAATGGTGAAATTCATCTCATGCCTCGCATCAGGTTGAGAGGGTCACTTGATCGAATGAAATTAAATTTCATTCCGCTAATTGGAATCCAAGCTTAGAAAAATATGCGGTGAAGATACAGATACCTTCAAGGTTTCAACCTCCATACATTGCTCCGAAAATACACACCTGATGAGATGACAATCTTCCTTGATGTTCAATAATACTTGGTTTTGAATAATGTCACATGTTTCTGGCAGATATGAATTTGTATACACTTATTTGCAATGTTTTAGGTTCTACCTTAAGGCAGCAAGTGCTGACGAAGAGGTAGAGAGGAGGGCCAAGTACTTGGCACTGCTCTCGCTGCTGGACCATGAGCAATTGTGCTACTGGCCCTCAACCGTCGCGGCTGGGTTGGTCATTCTCGCATGCCTTGCAGCCAATCGAGACTCATCTTGCCAATGTGTCATGGAGGTAATAATTTGCTCAAGTATTGTACCCATTTAGATGTACGTAAGAATCAGTCTTCCAAAGCCTATATATATTTAGGGTCCGTTTGGTTTACAGTTGAATTGGAATTGGATTTGAAATTGAAATCTTTGGAAATCGAAATCAGAATAGTCTATTCCCATAATCTGTTTGGTTTAGACAAGAATAGAAATAGGAAATGGAATCAATAGGAATGAGATCTCATTCCCAAGGAAGGAGAAGGGAATGACCATTCCCTCAAATGAGGAAATGCCATTCCACCAAGAATGAGAATAAGATTTTAATTCCACCCAACCAAACAATTAAAATTGGAATAGCCCATTCCAATTCTAAACCCCTATTCCTATAAACCAAACAGGGCCTTATTTCTATTAGAATTTTATATTGAACTGTAAACGATGATATCCGAAAACTAATAAGTACCTATAATCAAAGTGATTTGCTATGACCATCTCCATTTCCTGTGTTTCTGCAGACTCATGTCAGAAGTAAGAACGATGATTTACCAGAATGTATACAGGTATATGGAAACCACAGCTATGTAGCAAACCTGACTTGAGTTCAAGATCAGGGTTTCTATTCATGGCTGATCCATTGAAATCCTACGTTCTCTTTGCTGTCAACCGGATCCAAATGTATAGGCATTCTAAATCTAAAGGTTGTTTTTCTGCATATTTCATTGCAATTATCCCTGACGCATAACCTGATTTGGCAGAGCCTCGAGTGGTTGGTGAAGTACGTTCATTAGATGGGACCGACTCTCCAACATCTATTTTGTATTTTTCGTTTACTAGAGGAATTTCTTCTCGTTCATTTCAAGGACCTGGGTAATAAAACAGGTAAATCATCTTAGTCTGTATTAGTATCCAGGCAATTTGTACCATGATCTTCCCTCTTTTAAATGTAATCATAGAAATGCTGCAAGTTGTGATAGTGCATCCATCCAACAAGCAAGTGTCTGTATTTCATTATTCAAAACCACACAATTCGGAGGTCTGCTCAAGATATTTGGTGTCGATGACCACTGACCAGTAGTGACATCCCACCGTTTGAGAAAGAGGAAGAGCAGGTTCTCCGCGTCATGAATGCCAGTGGGCCACCGCGTTCATCATTGCCATGAGTTCACATTTGTGCCCCACAGAGCCCGCCCCACATGCACATCTCAGTGGGAGCTTCTCTCCTACGAGTTCAGATTGGTGGTTCACGGCACATTCCAATTGTGTATTGGGAATATCTCTCAATGACAAATACAGGGGATGTTCCCAATGCACACTGAGATATACATGTGGGGGCACTCCACGTAGGGGTGTCAATTGGACTGGATTTGGCCCAATCCGATCCCATCCAATGTGAGTCCATTATAAATGGATCAGGTCCAATCCAATCCAATGAATGCTTTGGATCACTTTGGATTGGTCCAATTCAATGTCTAGATCGTCTAATCTGTTCAAATTTATTTTGATTTAAATTGGTTTCAATCCAAGCTTGGTCCATTGACAGATATATTCTTATCTTATATCAATGGACCAGATATTGCTTAATCCAACCCAATCCAATATAAATTTATTACGGATGAACCAGGTTCAATCAAATCTAATAAATATTTTGGACCAGAGTCTTGTTGGTCCATCCAAATTGATTTTGGACTGGATGGGGTCCAATCCAAAACTGGTTCCTTGACACCCTTAACTCCACAGGCGCTGATATGATATTTTGATCTTCTATACTTGTTATTGGGAGATGTTTACAATACACGGTTGGGATGCGCTGTGGGATGCTCCTTATCCCTATGTCTCTTTTCCACTACCCCATTTAGCCCGCTAACTGGGTCTAGTGCATAGCACCTTATCCCCATGACTGGAACAATTTTGATGAAAGTAGTTAATTAACAGCTACTGCTTACCCCACTTCTCTGAATTATTACCTCTCCGTTTCTTTTCCTAGTCTTTAGATGAAAGATCAATGACCTTTTTTTTCTTTGTAAAAACGATGAAGGATAACAAATTAGTTTCTTGGTTCTGACACTACTCAAAAGCCCACGCCTTACGCCTTTCAGATTGTTTGGACTTTCAGAACCTTCAAAAGAGTGTTAGCTTAACCATCCCACAACTCATCTTTTAATCTGGAAGCAACCAGCCTGGCCCTTGTATACTTAAAAATTATAGAGTTGCACTATATTATGTATCCTCAGGCTTGGATCCTCATTGTAGGCATTTCGTCAATTCTGCCTGGTTATGACATGTATGAAAATAACAGTGCACCACAGACACAGACAATCAGATAATGCAATGTAGGTAGGGCAACACCCCATGCCCTTCTCACAAGAATTCGACAGAAGACCTTGCTTAGAGCTTGGGAGCCTAAGTTTGCTAAGGCTGTGTTTGGTTTGAAGGAAATAGTAGGGAAAGGCAGGGAAACCTTTACAAACCTTGTATAGGTTTTCCTGCCTTCCTTTCCTTTCTCTACCTTTTCCTTCAAACCAAACATAGCCTAAGGGAAATCATCAGCCCATGCGTCCTGCTAGGGTGATAGGGGGTTTGCGGCAAGAGCAGCATGGGATTTTACAAATTTTCACCCCTCACCCCTCCCCCCCGGGAAAAAAACAGTTGTACAGGAAGGTGGAAAGATCTTTATTCGATGGTATCATCTTTAATGAGACGAACTGGATGATAGGTTGTTTATTGCCTAAGTATATCAAATCGACCTCATTAATCCAACAATAAACCACCCAGCAGCATCAGTGACAGTGACTCTGCGGATGCAAAACGGATAAGAAATAATAAAAACAAGGCATGCATAAAAATATAAAATATGAAAAAGATCCTTGGACTTGGGAAACTGACATTTCTTACCCAAAAAAAAAAAAGGGTCTAAGATTGACATCTTGGGAACTGGTAACTAGCCTATTGCCGCTTCTCTTCAATGGGAAGCGGCAATAGGCTAGTTACCAGTTCTTAGGGAGTAATAGCAGGGTTTGCACCAAGGTGTGTACCCCCCCCCCCCCCAAAAAAAAAAAAAGAAAAAGAAAAAACAAACAAACAAACAAAAAATCTTTAGTTTTCAGAGTCAAATGTACTACAAAAAACAAAAGGGTAAAAGTGGAAGAGAAAATGTCTCATTGGAATTCCATGTTACCATGAACATCCAACGTGAAATACAATTATAAACCAATCATGCAACCTACATGAAGCTCAATACTAATGGTAAACATATGGAGAAAACAATGGTACCATTCACACCAAAATAAATATATATATATATATACAACAAACTGACGAAAATAAAATGAAACTTAGAAATGGACAAGAGTAATGCCGGTAGTCATATAACACCGAGCTTTCCATCATCAGCAGAAGCAACTGGCACTATAGGAGGCTCCCCTGCAGGAGAATCAAGATGGATTTGTGCAAAGTCATTGACAAGCCCTGTCCTCTCTCGATAAATGGTCTCCTTTTTCTCCTCCTCAGCCTTCTCAACTTTCTCTTTGGTCATTAAGGTAACATCCTCAGCTGCCTTCGCAACCATGCTTAAGGCACTTGACACCCATGATGCCCCTGTGGAGACATAACGGTTGCTCATGATGGCAGACCCTGCACTGCTTGCCTTCTGTTCAGCCAATGCAAGGGCTGATCTTGTCTTCTCAGTCACCTGGAACATCTGGTCCACTTCCCTCACCTTTTCACTGACCACAGCAGTACCAACACTAATCTTCTCACTTAGCCCTATCTTCTGGTCAAGGGATGCAACTTTTGCAGAGGCATTTGATGTTAAGTTATGCCGCCCATCAAAGGACTTGGCCTTTTTGAGAGCATCCTTCCCCAATACGAAACCCTTAGCAAGCATGCTACTCACAACATCCTCGGCCTTCTTAACAGCTGGATTAGTACTAGAAGGCTTCAAGAGCATTTTTAAGATTTCGTTAGGGGGATTTGATTCATTGACATATAGGGAACGGATAATAAAATTTCCTGAAATATAAATATGCATATACAACAATACTACACACATCTGCATATGAGATTAGTGGTGAAATTTTACCAAAAATAAGATAGAAACATGCAAACATGGGTAAATGAAAAAATGTGTTTTAATTAACTAAGAAGACGTTATCTTCCAAACCTAAGGCATAGCATGGGAATGCTATCAAGTGATTGACTTTGACTCGTCTACAAGGCAAACAGAAATTGCATGCTTATGCCCTCAATTGTTTAAACTGGATCAAGAGAGAGGCTCAGAAATCCCTTCAACTTCAATAGCATTATACCATGCAAAATGTTAAAGGAAGGTAGCATAAGGTTTTTGGGAGAATTTATATTGTGGTGTCTGATCTCCTAGAGAGGCTTTCCTTTTCTCTAAATACAAACGGTGGGAGAGAAGGATACAACTGTTAAGAGCCATTATGAATTGATTGCTAGTGATGTTGTGTTAGGGACTCAGAGGAGCAGCTCAGCAAGCTATGAGTATATTCTAGGAGGAAAAGAAGGAAGCCACGTCAGGTTCTTGAGCCAGCTAACTCAGAGATAGTTGGATTTTAACTAATCAAGAAGCCAGACGGCAAGTGTCAGTTACAAAGATAGCTGAAATAGTATGAAAGAAGCCTGTATTCCTGCTAAGAATAGTGAATTAAGACTTACCTTTCTCTCTCTTCCCATTTCTTCTCTTAACTTTAGTAAAAGAGGCTGCTCCACCCTCAAGAGGAGCCTTACTTGGGCAGCAATGCAACATTTTGGTATCAGAGTGTATGCTGATTCCTTGAGAAGAATTGAGAATGCCAAGCACACGATCTAAGGCAATAGAAAATTGTGTGGATTGAATGGAAATCCACCTGCACAAAGTGATGGGCGATTTGCAGGAGTCAAGAAAACCTTGGCATTGGTGGTGGCACATCTGGAATGAAACCCCACTAGTGTAACTGCAAAGGTGACTAGGAAAGAACCAGCCACAAGCAAGAAGGAACAAGGCGCAGTGGATGGACAGCAACTAGAATAACAAAGTTTGACTTCCCAAATTATTCAAGTGACGATCCTATGACTTGGATCTTTAAGGCCAAGAGATACTTTGAATATCACAAAACTCCCAGCCATCAGAGGATCCCCATAGCCTTATTCCATCTTGAGGGAGAGCAAACCCTATGGTTTCAATGGTTTTGCTGCTCCCACCCTTAAGTTTCTTGGGTTGATTCCACAGGATCCTTGCGTATTAGGTTTGGAGCCATAGAGCTTTATGATGAAGCCCTGTCCAAACTCTGGAAACTGGGATGGTGAGGGACTATCAGGTTGAATTCGAGAAGTTGTCAACGAGGGTGCAGGGTTGACTTGAGAAGGCTCTCCTCAGCTGCTTCATTGGAGGCTTAAAGGAATAAATTAGGGTGGAGGTGAAGGCTCTTTAGCCCACCACAGTGCTTGCAGTCGTTGGTCTGGCATGGTTACAGTGGTTGCAGTCATTACTCGACTTGCTTCAGTTCAGGCCTACAACCACAGTGCGTGCACTCGTTATCCAAGGTTTCAAGAAGAGGAAATGGAAAAGATTGTCCAGGAAATGTTGGAAAAGAAGTTTATACAGCCAAGATCCAACCCATATTCAACACCTGTCCTCCTTATTAAGAAGGATGATACACAGCAATTTTGTGTCCATTACCAATTTACCAGGCCTCAGATCAGATTATAGTAAAGGATCGTGTCCCAATCCCTCTTATTGATGAGTTGCTAGATGATTTACAAGTCGCCACAATATTCTCCAAGCTTGACCTCAGCTTGTTCTATATCATCAAATATGAATGCATCCAGATGATGTCCCCAAGATAGCATTCTACACACATAATGAACAAGGTATCTCGTCCCTACTTACATTGTTTGGGCTGACAAACACCATGTCTACCTTCCAGGCCATCATGAACAAGGTATTTCATCCCTACTTACATTGTTTCACCCCTAGTTTTCTTTGATGATATACTAATATGTAGTGCTGATTGGACATCTCACTTACACGGTTACACCATTTATGTTTCTTTAGCATATAGTTGTAGATAATCCATTTTGACTCTTGACCAACCCAAATCATTTTTGGGTTTCAACTAACCTGTCCAGTAGACTGGGTAGACTTAAGAGAGGAAGAAGGGGATGATAGGCAAGAAAAGGTTATTAAATCATATTAAAATAACATTTTGTTTTTTCTGTGGAATTTTGGTAGGACATATAGCCATATGAATGTAATTATAGCTGTAAAATTGTACTATAAAGCTAGTGGGCCATGAATGATGTTTAATTTGCCAACGTGCTACAAATAATGTTAAATTGGGTCAGCTAGTGTCGTAACTTCTATCTCAATTAATTTGGGTTAAATGGGGTATGTTGTGATAGTGAAAAACAGGTTCAGCTAGAAGTTTGATGGCAGTTTTTTGGAGTTTCAGACGAAGGAGCTGTTAGGGTACGAGTGATGGGTATTGATGAGGGCAGATTTGGCCCTCCACTAACATCATGACACATGGCATATCAGAACAGCTGAACTACATCCCAGCATCACCTAGGCGACAACTTGCCTTAGCCAAAATGGGGTCCCAGCTGGCAACCTGCCTCTGCCGCCGACCTGGCGACCTGTCTCTATCGCCGACCTGGCGACCTACCTCTCCAGAAGCTTGCCAGTTGTCTCTGAGCCTTTCGGGATCATGCCACGTAACCGTAGGCCTTATCCTCATCCCGCCCGAATCGGAGGGAAACAGTAAGCCTTATTAACTGGCACGTTATCCTCCTTCCAAAGCGGAACAGATCCCTACGTCGTGGGCCGAGGATTCCGGGAACGTTTTGCAATACCCACGACAGCCCAACTATATAAGGGCGTCAGCCCCTGAGATCCAGGTAGATGCGCAATTTTAGTTCTCGCATCTCTCCAGCTCTCTCACATTTAGCTATCTTAAAATCTCTGATTCGCTTACTTAAGCATCGGAGTGCCCACCCCGGTTAAAGCAACCTAGGCACTCTAACACTGTTTCCTTGCAAGTCACATTAGAGCCACCTCTCTAGCTCATCACCACTCAACTAGACATCAGAGCCACTTCTCCAGCTTGTCACCACTCAGTTAGGCGTCAGAGCCACCTCTCCAGCTCGTCACCACTCAGTTAGACATCAAAGCCACCTCTCCAGCTCATCACCATTTAACTAGGCGTTAGAGCCACCAATCCAGCTCGTCACCACTCAGCTAGACATCAAAGCCACCTCTCTAGCTCGTCACCGTTTAGCTAGGCATCAGAGCCACCTCTCCAACTCGTCACCATTCGGCTAGACATCAGAGCCACTTCTCCAGCTCGTCACCACTCAGGTGTCAGAGCCACCTCTCTAGCTCGTCACCACTCAATTAGACATCAGAGCCACCTCTCCAACTCGTCACCATTCAGCTAGGCGTCCAAGCCACCTTCCAGGTAGGAACCATTCAGCTAGGCATCCAAGCCACATTCCAGGTAGGGATTATTCAGCCAGGCATCCGAGTCACCTGCCAGCTGAGAGCTGCCGAAATGCGCATCATCAGATATGTTTCTAAAGGTTTGTGTCTCAGAGGAGGAGATTAGGGAGCGTGAAGATTTTCTCCAATGATTTCTGATTGCCCAGTTTGCTGGTCAGTGTCCAACTGTTGATGAGTTTGAACAATGGGTCTTTCTCTCTTGGCATCTCTGATCTACTCTAAAAGTTAGGCACTTGGGAGGGAACAAGTTGTTGCTCATCTTCTCTTTTGAGACAAGCTTTGGGAGCCCTACAATTTAGTTTTTCCCAGTTCAATGGTCAATGATTGACACTCTCAACTGGTCTCATTTCGGTAGCTTTGAGAAACAAAGGTTTGGGTTTGGGCATGGGTGGGTTTAGGTGTTCAGGATTCCCCTACATGCTTGATGCCCCACTGTTTTCAAGGAAATCAAGAATGTTGCAAGGGGTTTTATTACTGCTAGCCAAGCGAACATGTCTTCATGCAAGCTCAACTCTCTCAGATTGTTGGTTTGGGGCTGAGCGGTTCACAACATCCCTAAGTTTCTCGAGGTTGAGGTTAAGGGAGTCGATACAAACTTCACCTCTCTGTTAAGGATTTGGAGCCTTTATTCACTAGTTGGACCTCTAACTATTCTTTCCAAATGCAGGGGCCATCCGATTTTGGGGCTAATAAGTTATGCCTTGTTTGATAGTTTTCTTGCACCAGAAAATCTCTGTCCTACCTCTGGGCATTTTGTGGCACTAGTGTTAGAAGAAAATGCAAGAAACACCATAGGAGAAGGCTTCGTCATTGGCCTACGAGAAAGATGGGCCAATCGTCGACGGAGGTCACAAATTCACTATCCGCCATTGTGGAGGGTAGTGAAACTTTAGATGTTCTAGAGCCCAACCTCCAACTCGTTCCATTTTAGGTGCCACCTTCGCAGTTCGAGTGGAAGGTGAGTTTTTTTTTTGGGGCAATGACCCGGGATCCTAACCCACTTTGCTCTAAATTTGTGGATTGGGCCACTTTTGTTCCACCCCTTTTTATTCTCCCACCAACTTTGGGCTTGTCTTCCTCAAATGACTTGTCACTTTGCACTAAGCCCACAGATCCTTCTTTGTGATCTCAAGGGTTGGACCCTTTAAGCACTGTTGGCAAAGGCTCAAAGTTTTAAATGGGCCTAGTAGAAGGGAGGAGGCCCTTCGTGGTCCTCCCTTGCAAGATGCCAAGGATGATCAGCACATTCTTTCCCTTTGTTTGGGTAGTGAAGCTAATACTCCTTGTCAGCAGTAACTTGTTTATAGTTCAGCCTCTCTGGGTGTTGTGGAGCAGCAAGTGGATCAATTAATTGCTTTTGGAAGCTTTGTTTGTGTGCATCTTTCAAACAGACAAGAAGCACAAGTTCGAGATAGGTTGAGGGACAAGGCATCCTCAGGTCAAGAGAACCCTACTTCGTCTTCATCTCTAAGCACTAGCTTGGAGGATGAAGCAGATACAATTAGTATTGTGTCCAAATACTTTGCAGACAGTGCAAGCTTTCTTCTAGGTTGCAAAAGAAGCAAAGACATCACAACTCGTTATGATGTGGTAGTGGCCAAGCTGCCTTCCAGGGGGTCCCTTAGCATGCGAGGGTAGGGTAGAAGGGGTAGGAGAGGAAAAGGAAGGTTGGTGAGGTGTTTTCTAAGCAGTGTTTAGAGAACAGGACTGGATCGGCCGGTTTGTTGGGTAATTTAGAACTTCAAAAAAAACACCTTTTTATTCAGGTTGCAGTATTTCCACCTTTCCATATATTATTGGTCACCTTTGTTACCATCTTAATATTCAGAAAAGATAGGGATTCAAGTATTCTATCACCCATGCCTATTTTCTCCACATCCCACAACTTATATGCCTATGGATCAAATTCATGTCATGTTAATTCCTACAAGACATACTAGCCCCATATTTTACCAAAGATAACAACCAAGGCCACTTCCATATTTAAAGTGTAGCACTGAACTGAATAGATAAAAAGCATATGAACATGATGATATTTGACTTTAAGTCCTAAACCTACCGAGTTTGGTTGAAAAGCTTCAGGAGGCAACTGGTAATTCTCAATAGGTGTTATTGTGACAGAAAGGTCAACAATGGTGGCTCCCTGCATCATGTAAATGCAATGTTTAGAAGGTTTCTAGAACAGGATAGCATATAGAATTCCGAGTTTGTGCATCAAACATCAGAGGGATTTGAGCATGAAAGTCATGGTAAAAGTTACTAGAGTAGAAAATACACACACCGAAAGAAGTATTGCTGTGTCCGCACCCTGTGAATCCTTGAAAGTAACATATGCAAGTTGAGTTCTTTCAGATTCTCTGCAATAACAGAAACAATGGAACTATGGAAGATCTAGTATTGTTTTGTAAGGAAACAAGGAAGTTAGCTAAAACATGAAAAGCAACCAACCTTTGCATTTCAACATATTGAATATTACCAGAGAAGGAGAAGAATTCTTTGATTTCCTGTTCGGATGCAGCTAGTGAAATATTGCTTACTTTGACTGTTTTTACCTGTGCCATGAGATGATAAACAATGGATGGAAACTCAAGCAGTGTCATCAAGAGTTTTAATGTAGGATGAATGTTGAACAGATTCAAACATAAATTCAAAGAAATAACACAAGGAAAACTTCAAAGACAAAACAAAAAGGTTAAGTTATCAATGCATGCTTATGGCACAACAGATAAAGAACATAATGAAGCAGCAGATAGAATTCCAGCCATAGACTACAGACTACAGAGTCAGCTAATTTCATTTTGTACAATATCCTCTATCTTTGTACATGAACAAGGAGATCTCATAGGTGTTGGAGATGCATAAGCATCTGTCTCTACATTGAGGGATGGCATACAGATTATGTTGCATCACTAGCAGTGTAAACTACGATGGGAAGATATTGTAATGTGTACCAACTAAGAGAGTACGAAATAAGCTTATCCTCACATCTGTAACATCAATTGTCCAATTTGGTGATGGGGGTCTATTCCCATCTCATGATCACAATGGTCCATTGAGACCTGCATATGACATGGTCAATTAGGTTATGTTTGGTTTGATAGAAAATATGACATGGTCAGTTCCTTAGGAACTTTCCCTCGATTTTCCATTTCTCTCTTCTTTTCTATCAAACCAAGCACAGCCTTAGGTTTTATTCTAGGAGTAAAGTAAAACAAGTAGAAGAATTGAAGTGAAACAATGATAATGAGAATTGGCTCAAGTGACAGTGGTATACATGGTCAACTGTACCTCTAACCCAACACAGTGACAGCAAAATGATGAGGCAAAAGGAAATAGGAGAGTTCAGATAAAAGTCAACAACAACTGAAGGTTCAGGAAAGAAGCCGGCCTAAATGACAATGCTAAATACTACAGCATATAGAAAGCACCCTTGGTTCTGGTTGCTTGCATAAAATCCACCTCAACTAGCCATCCAAGTATAACTCAAACCTATCTCAAGACCCCTCATATAGCATGATAAGGTCAAACAATCTAACCTTCAGAAACTTAATCAAATGAATGGTGAAAGTCAAGAAAGTCACAACATTGAATATCCGAACATTCTTAGTAGAACATCATCATCAGCCAAGTCTTGTCCCAGATATATGGGGTCAGCAACATGAATCCTGTTCTGCCATTCTGATATGTTGGGTCCCAGAACATAAAATAATTCTGCTATCTGCAGTCATCAACCCTGTTCTGCACTTCTGTAAATAGTAACTAACCTCCTGGGTGCACCCTAATGTGCAAGACTTATAGTTTAATTCCCCTCTCTCAATTCTCGCTCCCTTCCCTCCCTCCCTTTATGTTAATTGATTTATCAGGACCTTGAAATCAACTTGAACAACTAAAAATTAGCATCCCAAATATTAGAACAAATTTAATCTAATCTATCATATACTCTTACAAATCCTAAAACAAGCCAAGCGTCAGTGATTCAACCATTTCAAACATCTCCCTCCCTCCCTCTCTACTTCAACATTTTTTATTTAATCTGAAATATACTTAAACAGGCCATATATTGCAAACAACATACTAGTTCACCAATCCATCGCAAATCTTGATGAAGAAACCGAACCCGTGAATGCCAGACCCTTCAAAGCTCCCCCGTTACAGAACAAATGGCAACGCTTATTGTCCAAACAGTGCTAAACAACTGCACATGATATATATACCTGACTATATAGGTCTATAACATAATCATCATAATCGCCTGTGGTTCAGCATCAACTCCCCCGCTTTAGGAAACTCAGTACACAAATAAACTCGCAGATCTCTAACAACTTACATGCATAAACGATATATCCAATTCATAAACAACCAATTCAACAACAATAAATCCAATCTCGCATACTCCGCAGATCTAATTAGATCCCGATACATAGATCATTTTTCCAAAACAGAGAACATCACCGAATCGAAAAAAAAAAACATGCATAGATCAGTAGCTTACCGACATTTGAAGGCTATTTTACGGAATCCGCAGAAACAATGGCGACGTCTACAGGAACCTTAATCGAGATCGGAAAATGCCGTGAAACTGGGGCGAGAAATCTGAGAGAAGTTCAGAAATGAAATTCTTAGGTGGAAGAATGAGTAGCAGAAAACGGAGACGGCTTCTGTAACTGACGCCACGTCGGCAGCGACTTCTCACAGGTCACAGCGGCTATTTTACTCGCTGGCAGATTTTGATTCGTGCATGATTAATTAAATAATTCCTCCAGGCTCCAACCGACCGTGTCCCACACGTTTGACTCCTGATTCGATGATTCCTTACTGTTTTTATTGTTGGATAAATTTTAGAAACCCTCCGAAATTTTTTAAAATTTTGGAAAGACCGAAGGAATGCTCTAATGCTCTATCTCACCGACATCCTCTAATACAATTTCGTCCATATACCGGCACACTGCCGATTGTGTTTTTCCACTTTGGTACCGAAATGTGTGGTACCTGAAAAAACTAATAACTAATCATGTCACGTACATCAATCCAGCTGTTTTGTCATCCTTACATGAATCTTATTGGTCAGAGTACCCAAACTTTAAATTACGAAAATCAAGTACCCAAACTTCCGGATTATTATCTTATACTTTGGCTCTACTGCTATTTTGGTCCTTAAACTTTAAAATTTGATAATTTAATATTCAAAATTTTAAAACGTGATAATCTAATATTTGCCATTAATCAGTGATTAAGTGACATTTTAAAAAGATACAAATACCTTTGAGTATCATCTAATTTTCTTTATCAATTAAGCAAATATTAACAAAAAAAAATTAATAGTCCTAAATCCTTGTTTCTTCTATTCAAAAAAGTTGGGATCAACAGAATACCCACTCAAACGTAACTCCAACTTTCTTGAATGAAAGAAGTAAGAATTTGAGACTTTTAATTTTTTGTCAATATTTAGATGATTGATAAAGAAAATTAAATGACACTTGAAGGACATTTGTGTCCTTTTTCAAATGTCACTTAACAACAGGTTAGGTGCTGATTAATGCAGGTACTGTATTGTTGGGTTTTAAAAGTTTAAGTAATGAATTACATATTTTAAAGTTCAAAAACCAAAGTGACACTAGGCACAAAATACAGGGTACTAAGAGGGAATTTTCTCTTTTTTTCCACTTTGATTGGTACCTGAAAAAACTATTAATTAATCATGTCACGTACATCAATCCAGCTATTTTGCCATCCTTACATGAATCTTATTGGTCAGATATACGGGTCTGGTTTGAGGTTGGTTAAATCTACCACCTACTGGCTCAATTTGGGAAATTTGCATCTTTGGTACATATTTGTATTTGCAATTTTTCCCAAATTGGCGAAAGGAGTAAAAAACAAATATATAATCTAAAACCTTACATTTTATGTTATTTTATATGTATTTGTATTCCTTTTAAATTGAGCCTTACTAAAACACCTTCTTAGAACTATTTATATTTGTATTTGAGAATGATCATATGATCTCTTTTAAAATTAGAGATGCAAATCAGAGGCCCCGAGAAGGTTCCCTTCGAAAAGGCACTTTCACGCTCAAATCAATAGAGGGTAAAAAGGTTGGCCCAACCGAACTATTAAGGATGAGCTAATCTGGGCCGAGAGAAGCAAAAGAGAAAGAGAACGGGGCCAAGAGGGAATAGAGCACTAAGAGTGGAAGAGAAAGAGATACTTCGAGAGGAATGCCCCTTAAATACTTGATGCGTTCATGTTCCCTGTTTCCTAGGATACGTGGCATTCTATTAAAGAGAATGAGGTCAACTTGAAGTCTTTGGGTGGCTCCATACTACTCGGCATAGGCAACCATCAGGGATGCGTGAACTGCCACATGCCCTGCTTCCGTCCAAGGTCCTTGTTGGATGGTGCAGCCGCCGACTCCATGTAGTGTTTTGTGTTGTTGACGTGGCCAAAGACACCGGATATGCTCAACCCACGTTGGTACCCAAGTGGCAAGGTTTTTATTTTTATTTATAAAAAGTATAAAAAATAAAAGCACACACATTGGATTGAAGATAATTTGAATTACCAAGTTATCAGATTTTATATGTACGATCTAATTTGATCTGAAAATATGATAAAGGGATATCTAAATCCAAATATTCAATAAAATATGATCATTATCCAATCCATTTGCATTCTTATTTAAATGAGTGGAAAAATGTAAAAAGACATAGGTCCAAGATTTTTTATTCCAAAAATATTAATAGTTTTTATATCAATCTTTTGGAAGCAACACCCCACCTCATGACTTTGTCTAGAGAAAGCATAGAGTGTGTGTGATATGAGAACTATTAAGGGTGTTTTTGAAATAAATAGAACCCTAGATATATCTACTTGTCAAATGACCATTCTGTGATTCTAATGCAAACGGTTCATAATGAAAAGTTAATTTAATAAGTATTGTAAATTATAAGGGGTGTTTTAATAATATGCAAACAAAGTAAGTTTTAAATATTTAAAACTGTGGGAGGTGTATATGTGAATGACCCTTTATTTTTCAGGTCAGTCCAGGTCTACCAATTTTTAATCGTTCTCTAGGGTTTCCAAAGGTTTCTTTTCTCTTTGTTTATAGAAAGCCTTTCTCTTGAGGTTTCCTTGAGTTTCTTTTCTTTGTCTATCTTTCATTGTTTTCATCTTCTACCATTGGTGGCTTCCTTTGAGGAGTTTCTTTTTTGTGTATATCTTTCATTGTTTTCATCTTTTACCGTTGGTGGCTCCCTTTGGGGAGTTTCTTTTTTGTGTCTATCTTTCATTGTTTTCATCTTCAACCATTGGTCCTCCCCCCCACCCCCTTTTCCTTTTCTTTCATCAATTCCTCCTTTCTCTCCTTTTCTTGTTTTCTTATCCCCTTCTCCCCTCCCCTCACTCATCTCTCTCCCTCCTGATTCTTTCATTCCATTGTTTATGTTCTTCACCCTTCTCCCATCCTCCATCATTTTTTGCCCTCACTCGTTATTTTCCTTTATTTTCTTTTTTCTTTGCTTCTGTTGTGCAAGGATTTTGCTACAGGGGGCTAACTCTTCATGCATTTGGTGTTGGACGGTGGCCACAATTGCTGCTTTGATTTGCCATCCATGGCTGTTTCCTAACTATTTTCCACCACCGGTTGCAGTTCTTGGTAGCGGTTGCAGTTTCTTCGTGGTGGTTATGGTTTCTTGGTGGCAGTTGCATTTGGTAACAGGTGTAGTTATTTAGGGATTTGCCGTTCTTTGTGGTTTTCTCCGGTCGTGCTACTTCGTTCTTTCCTTTGAGGGCCCCTCCTATCTTTTTCCCTTAGTTTTGGTGGATGGAGATGCTTCGGAATGATGCTTCTTCTGTTGGTGATTCTCACTTCTTGTCAATTGCATAAATCATTTATCTTCTCTTTTATCCACTAGTAATTATGTGTATTTTATTCTTTTTAAGAAATTGTTTCTGGGCTTTTGTTTGGTGCTGTTATCAATTCTTTTTATTCATGCAAGTTTCTTGATGAAATAAAATATATTTGCTTCTAAAAAAGAGCCAAATCTACCTAGTTAAGTCATTGTCATTTAAACATCCAATTGGTAACCATTCAACCGCTATTCATTCAAATTCTTGTCCGTTTATGATTATTTAAAGATTTTATTTTTTTTATTGATTAAAGATTTTTAGGTACCGTATATCTTCAAGACCATAGATATTGCCTCTCATAACTAATGTATATTGTATACATTAAAAGGACAACAAATTGGTTACCAGGTGCTTTACATACGAGAAGCTACCTATGTCTACCACATTTAGGGATATTATATTAAATAACGCACACATTAGATTAATCATAATTTCAATTCCAAAAACATATGCCTCATTTTGTTTTGGTGGTTTTCCTAATTACAATTGACTGTTTAAAGTTGTACGTTTTAAAAGTTTTAATGCAATACTTTCTTATAAAAGGTAGGCTTATTTTGTAAGTTGTGACGAAAGTGTGTTGGGCTTTTCTTTTTGGAAAATCTATGGTGCTGGAAAGATATGCTATCGGAAAAGTTTTGACCAATTAAAATTCACCCGTGAATTTTGATAAATCCTATCGATTGTTTAACATATTTATTTATCTTTTTTTATAAAAAGAAGCAGCTTTATTTACTTATTTATTAGTAAAATAGACATAACCTTCATTGTGAGGTGAGTAGTGTAAGGTTATATTGCCTTTATATTTGTGTAGGCAAAAGTATGAGCAGCAAGGTTCTGTTTCCTATTGAACAAAAAAAAAAGTGGAATTAAGGGTCTGTTTGGTTTACAGTTGGAATCGGGATCAGAATGATCTATTTCCATAGTTTGTTGGTTTAGACAAAAATAGGAATGGGGATTGGAATCAACAGGAATGAGATCTCATTCCCAAGGGAGAAGGGGGGGATATCAATCCACCAAGAATGGGAATGGAACTCCGGTTCCACCCAATCAAACTACTAATTCTTGCAAACCAAGCGGAGCCTAAAAGTATTCAATAGTCTTCTAAACACCTTATATGCAGCTGCTCGATCCAGAAGAGAGGTTTGTCTGTGTGATTCATACGATTCATGAGCTCAAGTGAGTCACTGTAGACACTATTGGTGATATATTAACTGCTTCAAGAGCCAAAATCAGTACTCATACTTCTACATCATAACTTCCAAATGCCTAGCATGGTGTTCCTTGCGCTTCCATCACGTTGTCATTGACCTGTTGGATGATGAAAGAGCATCCTACCCGACCTGTGATAGAGTCATATGAACCATCAATTTGAACTGTGACATGGTTGTGGTGCATGTTGTAAGTACTCATTCTAGTGGTGCTTGTCGGTTATGTATGAAGATCCCATTCCGGTCCCATTCATTTTTCAGTAAGTTATTTATCCGGGTAAATACAATTACCTGGGTAAGTTTTTCCCGGGAAACACTTATCCATGTTCTTTTATTTCTTAGGTAAATAAGGAAATGACCATTTTAGTCATAGAAATTTATTATTAAAAGGGGCATTTTTGTCCATTCAAGTGTTGGTAATTTTCCCCCTATGTGAGAAAGTTATTTATCCACCTAGAAGATGGGTATCACTTACCCAAGAAAGTGATACACCGGAAAATAAACTTTCCCTGGTCTCCACATAAAATTAAAAAAAAAAAAAAACATGGGATTCTTGGTCGTATATGATTCTGTCTTGGTGATTATGTCCATGGGATTAATGGAAGCTCCTTCAAAT